TTCCCTAATGACTTTGAGCACTATACGTAAATGAGAAGAAAATGTAACTGGTCTGCGAAGTAGCGTGGCCTATTTCAGTTAAATCGAAGCATCCAGGCTATTGCCTGTCCTTTTGCGTGGACACTAGGATGAGTAACCCTCACACTGACACTGCCACTACAAGCTCAGACTTCTCAGTGCCAGTGAGACGCCAGCCCGGGGCTCCTGCCCAGGGACAGGCGCCTGGGCCTGGTGTTCGCTGACCACATGGCGCAGTCCTGGCTTGCATCCCACAAAGCCGCCATACTCGGGCGCATCGTGGGCACTTCCCCTAGCCTCCCTCTGATCCTGAGAACCGCCTCCCTGACTTAGGAACACTGCCCTCGCGTGGTTCACCACTCTCTGCAGGATCTTCAGGACTCCTACACAAACCGCCCTGTGACAAAAGGCTCCAAGAAAGAGGATGTGTCTTGCTTTGCATGGCTTTGCTGCACTATGCTGATGGCCTCTTTGCCACATTCACGAGTCCCACTGGGCTTTCTCAGCTGTTCTGCTCAGCAACGGAAGCGCACATTTCAATAAAAGCACCAAAGTCTAAGCATGAGCGTGTCGCAGAGAAGACGACACTGCCTTGAAAGCACCTTCCACGACGGCCCGGTAGGTGTGTGGAGCCCTCATCATGACGAGAGGAGGAGTGGTTGCTGCTATCAATTTAGAATTTGTGACGATCCCACCTGGCGATGAATTTAAGTCTATCCCTGCAATGGCAAAGGCAGCACTTGCTCTGTAATTTAAACAGGAATAAAAGGAACATGCTTTCTATTTTAGAGGACTGTTTCAGTGTAATATTCACCATATGCTCACAAAGTGAATAGAACTCAGAACTGCTTATCTGGTGTCTGATTATAAATTATTATTCCTAATTTATGCATTCAAATCTAATGGGCTCATCTCTATTGTGGTCTACTCCCATTTTAGCTGTCCCCAAATAAGCTTTGCATTTTCTCTAAGAATCTAAATCTAAAATATCTGCCCAGTCTACCTACAGGTGAGCAGCAAGGGGGCAACTGTTCCTCGGGGCATCCCGTCTGCGTGCAGGGCGGAGCCGGAGAGCGGCAGCAGTCTCTTGGCCAGGACCCCCAGTCTCTGCGGCCCTGGCTTCCTAGACAGCCCCTCTCTCCCGGGCAGCCCTCTGGAAGAAGCACTGGGGAGGCCACAGCCTGTGTTTTGCCGGCTGTTACCAGCCTCCTGTCCTGGCGCTGGCAGGCACCCTTGGCCTGACCTTGGGCATTATCACTGAGACCTCTGGAATGATATCCACCACGAGGTCCTCAGCTTGGGTCACTCCTGGGGGACAATATGGCTTTCGAATTTTGTTTTTGGGCTCAAATTATGATTATCTGCTGCTATTTCTACCCACGTAAGGCAGCTACTCTACATTAACAGCATTCCTAAAGGACAGAGTCATGTGAAGGACAGGCCAATCACTGAGGAAAACCCCAGCTGACATCTAGGAAATACTGGAGTCTCTGGATTCCATCACTACATGTCCCAAAAGATAGAGCCATAATGTGTCCTTCCTCAAAGTTTGAATTTGTCAGTATTTCTGAGGGGCACTTCTAGGAGCCTAGACACATTTAAACAGTGACTAGGTGGGAAAAGTATTTAGGGTTAGCTTACCTCTGGATAAGTGGGGATGCTCTGAACATCAAACTCAAATGTATCTAAAACTTCAACCTTTTGTCCTCCCTTACGTAGATAAAGACACTAAAATTCTACTGAGATCCAAAGTAGGAGCAGCAGAGTCATCCTTGATTTCTCCAACTTTCTCTCTTCTCCTTCAATCCAATTAATCACCAAGGCTCAGCACAGCTAACAATGAGCTTTCTTCCTTTCCATCCATTGCCTTGACCTCGGATGGGCGCAGAAGTCTCTTCTCCAGCGCCTGTGATGAGCACGCTCCCCAGAGCCCGGCACCCACTCCACAGCGGCCCGTGCTGCTGTCCCCTTGCTCGGTTCTTCAGTGTCAGTGTTTTCGGCAGCTCTGTGCTCATCCGCCTTGCCTCTCCATCCTGTGCTTTCTCCTTGGCCCCCGTGCCGAAGGCCCTGCTAGCCTAGGCTTCAGACTTGCAGCTCAGCCTAACCCGAGTCTCAGTAGGACCTCTCTTCCCCACCCCAGGCCCGTTGTGCATTTTGTGGTCTCTGCCGGCAAATAGCACGCCCCCTTGCTAGGACTAGATCCCCACAGCCAGGCCATTCTCCCGCGCTGTCTTCCCCAACCCTCTGCACTGACTTCCCTGTCTGAAATCTGCCCTTGCCTCTCCATGGCCCCCTCTCTTAGTGAGGCCAGCCTCCCATCTGCCTGGATGGCTACACCCGAGCTGACCACACTTCCTCCTGACTAGCTGGACACTGCACACACCAACATGTCCACGGCTCAGCCTCCAACGGCTCCTTCTGCCTGGGATGAGGTCAGACTCTGCCTCAGGCCCCTCTCCTCAGCTGCGCCTGCTGCTCCCCCTCTGGCTCTGGAGGCCCCAGCAGGCCTGGGTGCTTGGTTTCTGCTTCTTTCCCCTCTGGGTTTCTGTGACTTATTTTCCTTCTTCCTAGAATGTTCTCCCCTTCTTTCTCTAGCCACTAATTCATTTTCAGATCCCATTTGGATTTCATTTATCCCTTGGACAATACTTTGCTGAACCTGCCTCCCTCGGAATGGGGCCTGGTGGCCTGATCCATGCTAGGCACATGGTCTGCCCATCTAATGGTGCCTTCTTTAGACTTCCTATGCTCTCGCTGTCTTTCTTCTCCTTCCCTGCAGCAGGCTTCGGAGGGCAGGGACTCTGCAGACACTCTGGACGCCTGCGAAGCCCGGATGCACTGCTGGGCAGCTCCTGCCGCTGGGAGATCTCCTCGGCTCGTGAACTTCAGACAGGCCTAAGGCTTCTCAGCAGAGCAGTGCACAGCATCCCAGGCACAGCCAGGACTTCGGCCTGCACTTCCCTAGCCTGGCTGGGACTTCGCCTTCCCTTGCACCACTCCCACCTCTGGATTAGCTGCTCTGCTTTCCATGATGAGCCACTCTTCCCAGCCCGTCACTCCCACCTCAGGCGGACTCGATGCTTCTCTCTTCTTGGGCACCACAGGGCTGTTTTCTTTCTATGACCTGAGACATGGGCTCCTCACAGTGAGGTTCTGGCGGCGCTCATGGCACCTGCTCAGTCCTCGGACGCCCACGGTGCCCAGCATCCAGTGGGTTCAAGTGTTAACCACGTGGAGAACAAAGGTAACTGTTTCAACTACTCTTGCAAAAAGACTGAGAAAAAGAGGAAGGCCGAGAAGCACGCACACTCCCAACCATGACCGTGTGAGTGGGCGGGCCCAGAGTCCTGGCGTGACTGGGGCGAGACGTGGCCTCCGGCCCACAACCCCCTCCGCAGAGCTCTGTGCTCGCTTGGGATGGACAAAGCCTCGGATTACTCCTAAGCCCGAGCTGCTGCTCTGCTGGAGAAATGAGAGAGTGCCAGGACCAAATTAAATAGCTGGAAATATTTCACAAACAACATTCAACGACGAACTTTCAAAGCTAAGTTTAGTGGCCTCAGTGCAGACTCCTCGATTTGAATTCCAGCTCCATCCCCTTCTCGGTCTGTGAGACTCAGTTAGCTAAAGTGTTTGTCCATCTGCAGTGAGAATGATGACAATGCACGCTTCACACCTAGGGTTACTGTGGGGATTACACGTTTACATACGCACAGCATTTAGAACAAGCCACAGTAGACAGGAAACAGTTACTGTTAGCTGCTATTATCTTTATCTTAAATAGTGGCTGTTTAATTAATAACCAACATTATAATCTGTTCTTAGATTATAAGAAAGGGCCCCTGAGACAGAGACTGAGCTTTAAGAAGTCTCTTAAATATTCTGCACTACTTGAGTATTAATATAGGAGCAGCTGAGCAAATAAGCACGTCCTAAAAGACCACAGTTGGTACTAGGTCCTAATTAAGACCCTTTAATTCAATTGATGCACTTTGCAAAATTACTTATAATTTTTATTTCTCCATTTTCACATTTATAAGTACCCTACAATTAGGGTATGGGTTAACTAACATGATTATCAAGGACTCTGAAACTCTAAAAACGGAAGTGACAAATTTTCTTATAAGCACTTAATTTATTAACAATATAGCATATTATGCTAATTCCTATGATACTTTCCAACTCTGGTTCTTAACTTCTAAAGTCTAAATTTTCTCAAAGAACATTATAAAATTATGTATAAAAATAAATTTCAGAATCTGGTTGGCTTGATTTAGAATACTGTCAGGTTTAAGATGTAAATAAAATTACAAAGTTATGTCTCATAATTCTAAAATCATTATCATTGTCGCTGAAAAATGAAATTTTGAAATACTAATGAATCTATTTGAAAATCTGATCTTAAAATATTATGTAATGATATTAATTAAACTGCAACTTAAAAGACACAGAGATGATTTTCATTTCTTTTCTTTCTTTTTTTTCCGGTACTGGGGATCGAACTCAGGACCTTGGGCTTGCAATGCAGGCATGGTGCCACTGAGCTAAATTCCCTGCCCATGATTTTCCAAAGTTATCTTGATGCAGTCTGTAATTTTTGATAAGTCAGCAGCGCAGCCAAATCTTGTATGTTTGGTCTGTGGAATAGGATAGTTCAAAACCCATGTCTCCCAGAACATTAGCTCCAGCTTCTTCTCCCACAGATATTTACTACAGTTACCAGGCTAATTTCCATTTCAACTCCTTTTCCTTTTTAACTGAGGGATGAAATGGCTTAATGAATTAATTAATTAACTAACAAAGAAACGCAGGAAGGAAGGGCAGCACAGCAGAGGCTGTCTGAACCCTGGGAGCTGGTGCCCAGCGCCGCATTCCGTTAGGAGCGACCACGCCCCTCCCCCTCCCCTCCCCTCCTCCTCTCCCTCCTCCTCCTCCGTGACCTCCACTGAGGCCCACAGGCGCCCGGCCTCGGCCTTCAGTACCTGGAAGAAGCCTGGTGGCACAGGACCTACTGGCATGCCATCTCCCGGGGGGATGTTTCCTAGCACGGGGCTGGGAGCGGCGGCTGCACTCTGCAAAGAATAGAGAAACAGACCTGGTCAGTACAGAGCAGCACAGCACCGAGCCTGCCGTCACGGCGGTGGGGTGCTGTCGGCCCAGGCGTGCTCGGGCTCCCCGCTCCCACTCCGGAGGGGACCGAGACAGGACCGCGGGCCAGGGGACGGCCGGGCAGTGGCTGACCGGCTCCCCCAGCTGTGAGAAGGCGAGAAGTTTCCCAAGGCCGGTGTTTGATAAGCTGCCGGTAGTGACTGGCGGAGTGGTTGGGGTGCAGTTCACCGCGTATGCGGGGGCTGGGGCATCTGTCAGGACGACCTCCACACTGAGTAGGTTAATAGTTGGGTGGAAGGTTTGAGGATGGTGATTGTGGCAGCTGGGATAAGAACTCGTTTTAGGTTAGGCTTTTCTGTTATAAACACGTCTAATTGCTTTCCCGCCTATAGGTGGCAACACACGATTCACTTTCTCACCCACTATACCGGGAGCCAAAATCTAACTCTCGGCTGACAAAGATAGAAACGTAAACATGAGATTGAAGAAGAGAAAAAATCAGGCTAGTCTAATACAAATTATGGAAGTCATCAGATTGGAAAGTTCAGCCTGCTCCCCTTACACGATTGCCCAGAATCCTGACACGTCAGGAAAGAGGGCTGCGGGGAATTTTGCCTCAGATTCTCTGTAACCAAATCAAGGCCACAGACTGAATGTTACACACAGGAGTTACATATGGGACTGTTCCACAACTACGGATTTCATCCCTCAGCCCGATTAGACATGGTACAAACACCGGGACTGTCAGTAAGAGACTGGATAAGGGTATTGATTGGTACAGTCATTATGGAACACAGCAGGGAGGGGGCCTTAAAAAGTTACAACTACCATCCAGCAAGCTCACTACTGGGCATACATCCAAAGGTCAAGGAATTAGTATGTGGAAGAGACATCCGCACCACGCATACTGCAGCACTGTTCATAAAAGCCCAGGTATGGGGTCGACCTCCATGCCCGTGGGTGGGTGAATGAGTACAGCAGATACCGGCGGTCATCACACACAGCAGCGCACTCCTCAGGCCTAAGAAAGACGAGGCTCGCCATTCGTGATGGCAGCCTGGCGGACAGTGAGTGAAGTCCGGCAGGCACAGGCGCTGATGTTGCGTGGTCTGACTCGTGTGCAGTCTAAGAGTTGGCCGCATGGACGTCGAGGGAACAGTGGGAAACCAGAGGCCACCGGGAGGAGGCGGGGGCTGATCAAAAGGCAGTGTCTGTCCGAGACGGACAGGTCTGGTGTCTGACTGCACTGTAGGGTCAGTGCAGTTGAGAACAACCCACTGTATCTTTCAAACTAGCAAGAGAGGGTTCTGACTTCTCACCACGAAGAACTAGGAATATGCTGAAGACGGTCGGTTTGACGCTGACAGTTCAGCTATGAACAGACATCAGAACAAGGCCGGTCCGCACTTACACATCCGCATCTTCGTTCATGCACTGAGATCCCCAGTACGTGTGTGTGCACCAAGCATTTGCTTCCTGGTGCCGGCTGACAAAAACCCTAGGTGTGCTCAGCCTCTAGTCCTTGCAGTTAACTTCTAAGACTGAAGATTTTAGTCTTTCCTAACGTCTAACTTTAAATGTGCTCGTCTGAAATGTCGCTTACCTACAAATGCCAAAACTTTTAACTTCTGACAAAACATGTGAGTATAAATTAGCAATATTTCTTAGATCTAAGATGATTATTAACCTCGTATTGTGTTCAGAAAGCCATGCAATTTTATTTAGTGTACATTAATTACCTACCACTTGTTAGTGATTTGTTTTGCTTTATATAGCAACATTTATGTCCCAGAAACAAAGGCAAACTGCTTTTTCTCATTTTAACTAAACTTGTGTAAAATTTAAGACACATATTAGAGTAAGGAAGGAAATTATAACCAAACACCTTTAGTTTAAATACAGACAACTACCGCTAGACCTAGGAAGTAAGGTTTGCTCTGTATCCCTGAGGCTGCCAGTTGCTGTTGTGCGGAAGATGCAGTTAATGCTCAAAGCTGGACATAGATGTCATTGCTGTTCTAATTCACTGTGGAGAAGAAAACTGTTCTGCAATAAAAACGCATGTAAAAGAGACAAATTTGGAAATCACGTTAGCCTATACTTTTATAGAAACATACAGTATAACACCACACATGTTTGCAGAATAAAACAAATTCACTGGATTATTGCAAATTCAGTGTAGGTCAAAAATATCTCTTTCAATTCTAGTCGTCTTAAAAGTACATAAAAGAGGCGTTGCCTACCCAAAGTAGGGAACAGTGGAGGTCCACTTGCACCTAAACCAAAACTCAACAGGTAAAATTCAGGTTAAATATTTGGCTAATAGCTCTTTTTCAGGGGCAGACTATACCTTTTAAAGGAATATAGTATGCTATTTTTTCTTCAAAGCTCATAGACATATTTATATATAAATATTTACTTAAATGTATTAAGTAAATGTTAATATTACATATTAAAATTAACATTATATTACATATGTAACTACTACATATAACATTATATTACATATGTAACATGTTCATATGCATAATATATCAATGTTATATATTACTATTACATATCATATAAATATATTAAAACACCAATATATCAATTATATAATTATATATTATATCACATATATGAAATATTTAATATATTAATACATAAATATACTAATGTATAAAATAAATATATTAGTATAATATATGATATATGACTATATAATATATAATTAATATATTAAATATATAAATATGTATTTAATATTAAATATTTATTTTCCTGCCATTATTTAAAAGAAATAAAATGATTCAAATTCAGATTTCAGCAAGCTAAGTCTTTCCCTTCTGACTTTTCATATTATACCCTTAAAATTATTTTAATATGTTCAAACAAACTCCTCACTTTCTTTTCTCTTTACAGTCAAGGACCTTTAGAAGGTCTCCAACATCACAAACGAAGCAGGGCCCCCGCCTCATTCAGAGAACATTCCAGTAAGGGGAGGAGGAGAGTCAAGCAACCAGATCTGTCCATCCATGGTGGGACGAGAGGGAAAAGGAGCTGGGACTAGAGTTCCCAGGGAGGAGGATGAGGATTACAATTTAAATAGGATTGACCAAACTGAAGAAACTAGTGAATCAGGGTGTCTTACTTTTCTCATTGCTGAGACAAAATACTCGATACTCAAAGTTAAAGGAGGAAAGGTTTATTTGGCTCACAGTCTGTAGAGGTTTCAGTCCATAGTTGGCTGGTTGCAAAGCAGGGTGGCACGGCAGAGGACAAACAGTCCATGGTAGGCAGGCAGAAGGGAGCAAGCAACAAGCAACAAGCAGTGACCCTTTTCTGTCCCTTATATTTTATCCAGGCTACTCAGCCCTAGGGCAGGTAGCACTCCCACCCAGGGTGAGGCAACCCTAATCCCAGCATTGCACTCTGAATCAATCCCAGAATCAATTTTTGATCCCAGCATCACACACTCTACATCCAGCCACCTGCAAAAGCCCCACCTATGATCGCATAAAGCTTTGGGGGATATCTAGACATACGCCGTAACACAGGGTATGGTGACGATTGATTTATTATCATCGTAATCATTATTATTGAGTTTACTGAGACAGGGTCTTACTACGCAGTTTAGTCTGGTCTTGAATTCACTATGTAGCCCAGGCTGGCCTCAAACTTGCTTGCTTGCTTGCTTGCTGGGAGCCTCCTGCCTCAGCCTCCAGTGCTGGGATTATATATGTGTGCCACCATGTCCAGCTACTGATGTAAATGTTCATCTTCCTCTGCTACTGGGGTCTCCTCCATACATTTCAAGATGTATCAAATTCTTAGTTTGCACTTACTCTGTCATAGTGGCATAATAGTTTTGTAAAGATTCTTTTTTAATATTCACAGTTTAGGCAAAATGGTTTTGAAATTCGGGAGTTTGATAGCTAGATGACTTACTGTGTACAGCATGATGAGCCAGTTATCTGATTGATAGAGAATTGTACCCTAGGCGTAAGGACACGAGTGGTCAGAATTCCAGCAGTTTCCCAGGACACACAGTAGCAAGCACTGGTCCAGGTCACTTCAGCCCAGACTTCTGGACTAAGTTCTGAGCTCAGCTGTCGGCGTCCAGCTGCTGCACCACCTGCAGTACTGGCCTGCAGGACCAGCTGGTGGACCGGCCTGTCCCTCGAAGCCGCTGGACTGGCCATCCAGGTGCCACAGTCCACGTGTGGTCACAGCAGTGCCCTAGCCTGCCCCGCGGACGCCAGAGAGCACCCCAGAATGACACCTGTGGGGCTCCTGGGGCGGGGCCTCTTGTGAGCGGAAAAGCTTGGCATTTCCTGGGTTTCCCTGCTGGAATTTGTGAGACTTGTCTCCAGTTTACTTCCAAACATGAAACAAATTTACGCACAACCTAAAGAGCCGTGGAAAGTTGCTGACCCTGATCATAAAGCATGTGCGATTCGGCGCCATGGCTGCTAAGTCGCAACAGTTTAACCATATTAGAAACTACTACAAAGCATTAGTTTCCCTGGATTTCTATGAATTCCCATTAGAGCACCAGGGAAAATCCTTATCATGTAATATATTCATGATTATTTAGGGTTATCTCTTTTCAAAGAAAACATACACATAACATGACTTTCAATGTTTCTTCTAACTGAATGTATGACTTTACTGCAGATGGAAGCATTAATTATCATTAAAAGTTTCGTCTCTTGTACTGGATTAGTTTGTATGCTTTTAGTATATTTTCAGACCTGTATTTTCTAGCATACATTTTCTTAAATCATCTGCTTTGTCATCTAACTTTAGCAGGAAGAAAGTTATCTAAACCTCTATATAGAAGTATCCAAGCAACGGGCATAAAATAGTAAAAATCTGTTTAAAAATAAAATCAAGATGCTATTTATCATTAAACATACCTAGCATTTATCAACATTCCACACACTGAATAGGAGTTTGATTTATGAAGAATACTAGGGAA